TGGATGGATGATGGATGATGGATGGATGATGGATGGATGATGGATGATGGATGGATGATGGATGGATGATGGATGGATGATGGATGGATGATGGACGGATCATGGATGATGGATGGATGATGGATGGATGATGGATGATGGATGGATGATGGATGGATCATGGATGGATGATGGATGGATCATGGATGGATCATGGATGGATCATGGATGATGGAGCTCTGGTCTGGCTGGAAATGTTGGACCCTTACAGATCCAACCCAAACCAGGCTGGGATTTTAGGACTGACAGGAATTTCCGTTTCAGATCCTCCAGACAAACCCAGGAACGTGTCCTGTGTCCAGTATGGGACACGGGGACATCTCACCTGCACCTGGGACAAAGGGAGGCTCACCTACCTCCAAACTGACTATACACTAGAGTAAGTGATGGGCTGTGAATATAATTAATGCCTAATTATTCCCTGAGCAACTTTCTGATCAGCACATACAGCAGCTGTGCCAATCCATCCCTTTGGAAAGGGAACCCTGTCCCCAAACCCCCAGGATTTAGATTTACCTTGTCCCCAAACTCCCAGGATTTAGATTTACCCTGTCCCCAAACCCCCAGGATTTAGATTTACCCTGTCCCCAAACTCCCAGGATTTATCCTGTCCCCAACACCCCCAGGATTTACCCTGTCCCCAAACTCCCAGGATTTAGATTTACCCTGTCCCCAAACTCCCAAGATTTAGATTTACCATGTCCCCACACCCTCAGGATTTACCTTGTCCCCAAACCCCCAGGATTTATCCTGTCCCCACACCCCCAGGATTTATCCTTTTCCCAAACCCCCAGGATTTAGATTTACCCTGTCCCCAAACTCCCAGGATTTAGATTTATCCTGTCCCCAAACCCTCAGGATTCACCTTTTTACTCCACAGAAACACAACCAATCCTTTCCTTCTGCTCCAGGCTCTCCAATGGGACTGATGCCTTTTGCTTCCCAGCAGAATTCCCCAATCAGGCGTTTTTCTCTCGGGCTCTGACCAAACTTTTGGATTTTCACTCCAATTACACCGTGGTGGTTTCTGCCTCCAATGAATTAGGAAATGCCTCTTCCCAGCCACTCACCTTCACGTTGATAGACATAGGTAAAGCAGCATTCCCACCTCCCAGCCAGCCCCAGACCTTGGGGAAGACCTGAAAATATTCTGGACCTCTTGGAAAAATATTAAACCTCTTGGAAAAACCACCCATCCAGCCTAAACCTATAATCCAATTTTCCACCGAACCCCCCCCCATTCTGAGCCCTGTTTGTTTCTCTCTTTTGGTGCCACAGTGAAGCCAAATCCTCCCGAATTTTTGGTGGAATTTGACGATTCCTCTGCCAGCAGCTGCAGCATTTTGTGGCAGGGTGAGGCACAAGCACAGCACTACAGGCTGAGGTATCGTCCCCTCAGCAGGCACTCCTGGAGCATGGTAATTCTTCTGGGATTCAGGGAGTTGTGGAGCTGCTGGAGAAGAAAAAGCTCCAGGGAGAGCTCAGAGCCCCTGGCAGGGCCTGAAGGGGCTCCAGGAGAGCTGGGGAGGGACTGGGGACAAGGCAGGGAGGGACAGCACACAGGGAATGGATTCCCAGAGGGCAGGGATGGATGGGATTTGGGAAGGAATTCCTGGCTGGGCTGGAATTCCCAGATTTGCTGTGGCTGCCCCTGGATCCCTGGAAATGTCCAAGGCCAGGCTGGGACACCCTGGGACAGTGGGAGGTGTCCCTGCCATGGCAGGGCTGGCACTGGATGAGGTTTAAGTTCCTTCCCAACCCAAACCATTCCACGATTCCATCAAGTTTTTGCTTTAAGTGGCAAAAGGAAGCTTTTGCTGGGAGCTGAGCAGATCACTCAAACAGAGATTTTGCTGTTGGCACGTAAGAAATGAGGGATTTTTCAGATTTCCTCACGTCAGGAGGAATCATTCATTTTTGAGTTATTGAAGCTGCCCCAGATCAGGACTTTTCTGCTTTTTTTTTTTTTCTTTAAATTACCTCTGAATTTGTAATTCAGCCTCTCACTGCTTGCAGCCCTCATTTCCTTGTGGGTTTAATATCAATTTCTTCACTCCTACTGAAGGTCGAGATCTTCAGCAAGGAGAAATTTCAGCTGCAGGGGCTGGAGCCCGACACAGAATACGAGTTCCAGGTGAGCTGCAGGATCCTGCCTGGCCGAGGGCTGTGGAGTGACTGGAGCAGGAGCCAGAGCCGAACTCCAGCAGCAGGTAAGGAATAATCCTAAACCCAGCCCTAAACCCAACCCTAAACCCAGCCCTAAACCCAGCCCTGGGCTCTGCATCCCACGGGAAACTCCAGCTCAGCTCAGGGGCCAAACTTCTGCTGGGTTGTTTTGTTTAAATTCTAAATCCAGAGCCAGGAGAGAGAAGTTTCTGTACGAAAATTGTTTTTTAAATGAAGCTGTTTGCGTTCCTCACAAAAGATGAATTTCCAGAATTTTCACTGAGAGCAGCTGGAGGATTTGGGGGTTGGAATGAGATGATTTTTTTTTTAAGGTGTCCACCCGACCCTTCAAATCCAGTGGTTCTCTGGTGTCCTGCTTGGCTTCGGCTGCTCTTTTTTTTTTTTTTTTTTGTGAATTTTTGGGAGCCCGTGGGGCTGGTGCTGTTCTGACTCAGCCCATTTCCCACCCCCCACCGTGGCAGCAGCATTTTCTGTAAAGGCATTGATTGAAGAGGGAGGTGTGAACCCTTCCCTGCCTGCCTCCCCCACCTTCCTCTCGACACTTTTCTCCCCTTTTTCGTCACACCCTGAGTTTGTGGCTGTCACCTCAGCCTGCCCCTGCAGGTTTTTAGCTGATCCAGGAGCACTTTGTGCCCTCACACCGGGTGACAGCAGCACAGGGAGCTCTGGGTGCATCATCAGTGCTCTGCCTCGGAGGAGATGAACGTGGCTGGTTGCAAACTCAAAATTAAACCTTTGCAAGGAGAAATTCCCTCTCAGAGTTGTCTGGTTGCAAACCCAAAATTCAACATTTGCAAGGAGAAATTCCTTCTCAAAATTCTCCACAACTTGTCTGGTTGCAAACCCAAAATTCAACATTTGCAAGGAGAAATTCCTTCTCAAANCATTTGCAAGGAGAAATTCCTTCTCAAAATTCTCCACAACTTGTCTGGTTGCAAACCCAAAATTCAACATTTGCAAGGAGAAATTCCTTCTCAAAGTTGTCTGGTTCCAAACTCAAAATTAAACCTTTGCAAAGAGAAATTCCCTCTCAGAGTTGTCTGCTTGCAAACCCAAAATTCAACATTTGCAAAGAGAAACTACCTCTCAAACGTCTCCACAACTTGTCTGGTTGCAAACCCAAAACCAAACCTTTGCAAAGAGAAATTCCCTCTCAAAGTTGTCTGCTTGCAAACCCAAAATTCAACATTTGCAAAGAGAAATTCCTTCTCAAACTTCTCCACAACTTGTCTGGTTGCAAACCCAAAATTCAACATTTGCAAGGAGAAATTCCTTCTCGAACATATCCACAAGTTATCTGCTTGCAAACCCAAAATTAAACCTTCTCAAGGAGAAATTCCTCCTCCTTTTTTTTTTTTTTTTCTTATATGTGAACTGCCAAAATTCTTGCCTTGTTCCTCGTGGCTTTCAAATCCAGGCTGGAGGGCAGCAGATGCAGATTGGAATTTTCCTACAATCCCAGATTGGAATTTTCCTGCAATCCCAGATTGGAATTTTCCTGCTTGGAGCTCGCAGTCAATGCTCTGGTTTTGTTTCTGTTCCAGTCACTCTTTGCAGTGAATCCAGGACCAGCATCTCTGACCTGGAGGTTTTTTGTGGCTTTGCTGCAGCCCTGGGTTGTTCATCAGCTGCCCCCTGCTCCAGATATTAATGATTAGGATTTAATTGGATGAGCTGATGCTGGTCCTTGAGGAGCCAAGCTCTGTCATCCCCTCTCACCTCAGCATTCCTTACATATTTATCTTTTATTCTGAATTTTTGGGAGCACATCTTCCCTTTAATGTCATTTTGAGAGGTTTTTTCAGAATATCAAGAGTTTCCAGTGAGAGCTGTGGAAGGAAGCAGGAAGTTTCAGCTGCCTCAGACAAGCTGTTCAAGGAATTTTTATTGCCTAAAGCCAGGCAGGAAAATCCTGCACATCCCACAAATTCCCTCATCCCAGGCTGCCTGTTGTTCTTGGATTGATGGAACCATCCTCAAGGACCCTCAAAAGCCTCAAATTTCTGCAAGGACAGGAGCTAATGCCGTGCTTTGGTGTTTCCTTGGTCGGGATAAAGCCACCAGCAGATCCAGGCTCCTCTCCTGGGGTTTATCCCTCGTTCTCCTCATGGTTCCCATCCTCAAAGCAGCCAAACCACAGCAAACACGGATCAGCAGAGCCTGCAGCATTCCTGGGACATTTTAAAGTTTTAATTTGAATTTTCTCGGGGTTTTTTACCTCCTTGTTGTCTCATTTGTCGGCTTCAAACCCCTTCAAAGCCATTCCCAGCGCTCTGCTTTTCCTTCCCCACCAGTGCCCACGGGGATCCTGGATGTCTGGTACCGGCAGCAGGACCTGGACTCCGAGCACCAGAACCTCTCCCTTTTCTGGAAGGTGAGTTCAGTGAAACCCCAGCAAAACCCAGAGCCAGGTGAGAGGGAAAAATACCCAGCCAGGTGAGGGGAGAAACCAAACCCAGCCAGGTGAGGGGAGAAACCAAACCCAGAGCCAGGTGAGAGGAGGAAACCAAACCCAGGCAGGTGAGGGGGAAACCAAACCCAGGCAGGTGAGAGGGGAAACCAAACCCAGCCAGGTGAGAGGGGAAACCAAACCCAGAGCCAGGTGAGAGGAGGAATTTGGATTTTTAGGGTTGCAGGAAAGGCCTGAAGCCTGGGAGAGCAGCAGAATTTCAGCAGCTCCCAGGGACAGGGACATGGATTAAGGATTCCCTCCTTGGGAGGATTTCAGAATCATTTTCCCACCTGCAATTTCATGGAATGCCAGAATTATTTGGGTTGGGAGGGATCTTAAACGTCACCTTTTTCCATGGGTAGGGATTTTCCACCATCCCAGAGTGCTCCAGCTTGGCCTTGGATACTTCCAGGGATCCTGGAGATTTTTTGGGAATTCCATCCCAGCCCTCTGGGAATCCATTCACTGTGTCCCTCCCTCCCTCTCTTTATCCCAAACCCCTCTCCAGATTCCTCAGCATTTTTAGGGTCTGGTGGGCAGAGCTGGGGGCTGGGAGCCCACAGGGAACATTCCACACAGAATTTGGTTTAAAACCCATAAAAAAAAAATAATAAAATAAAATTCACTGTGGTCCCCCCCTCCCAACACACACCCAGCTGCAAGTGAAAGCAGAAATTCTCATGAGATTCTGTTGGCCCAGACGTTGTGGCTTTAACTTGAAGAGTTTTATCTTGCAGCACTTTCTTTATCAGGAGTGGCTTCCTGCAGCATCATTCATAAAACAGAGTAATAAACTGACTTTAGAGGTTTCACAGCAGTTTCGAAGCCAGACTGAGACTCAGGACCACTTCCTACCAAGGGTGTGTTCTTATTCTCAGACAAATACCCAGAAAAGGGTTGAAATTTTAATTTCAGCACCTTTCCGGTGCTGCCTCTGTGCTGAGCCGCTGCCAGAGCTCTGCAAACAATTTTGGTTTGTGCTCCGTGCTTTGGTTATGATAAAAATCAGCCAAACAAATGAATTAATGTCGCAGAAATAGCAGGAAACTGAAACTGGGAGTACAACTGCGCCCAGAGGGAGCTAAAACCAGGGTGTGGTGCTCCACAGAAATACGTGTTCTGAGTGGTTCAATTTAAATAATTCTTTACGGTGGCTTTAAGTAAAATTCAGGTTTTTCCTCGCAAGAAAAACCCGGCTGATTTTGACAAATCCAGCTGAGCAGTTGATCTTTTTTTTTTTTTTTTTTTTTTTTTTTTCTCCCATATGAAAAGTGTGGCTGGAATTCAGCCTCAGGGCAGGAAGGGAAAAATCAGCAGAAATAAAAGCTTCACCAAACTGGAATCGAGTGGGGAAAAGAAATCCTGGACCGGTTTGGGTTGGGATGGATCTTAAATCCCTCCGTGCCATGGTGTCCCAACCTGGCCTTGGGCACTGCCAGGGATCCAGGGAATTCCATTCCAGCCGGGAATTCTTTCCCAATATCCAATATCCATCCCTGCCCTCTGTGTCCTGCCCCTCCATCCCTTTATCCCAAGCCCCTCTCCCGCATTCCCAGGTGACATTCCCGTGACAGAAGGCAGTGACAGACGCATTTCCCCGCAGGCTCTGAGCAAGTCAGAGGCAGGAGGGACAATCCTGGGATACACGGTGACCTTGGAAGCCCTGGAGCACGGGGAGCTGCCGGCTCAATGCCACCAGACCACCCGGACCAGCTTCTCCAGGGTCACCCCCAGGCTGGGCCACAGGGTCACGGTCAGAGCCCACAACCCCCGGGGCAGCTCCGCCCCTGCAGCCATCGTGACTCACCTGGGCAGCCCAGGTAAGGCTCTGCAGGCTGGCACGGATCCCCGGATCCCCTGGATCAGAACCTGGGATGGATCCCCGGATCCCCTGGATCACAGCCAGGGGATGAATCCTCTGGATCCCAACCTGGGGATGAATCCTCTGGATCCCAACCTGGGATGGATCCCTGGATCCTCTGGGACACAGCCAGGGGATGAATCCCTGGATCCTCTGGGTCACAGCCTGGGATGGATCCTCTGGGTCTCAGCTGGCCTCTGAAATCTGGGGATGGATCCCTGGATCCCAGCCTGGGGATGAATCCCTGGATCCCAAACTGGGATGGATCCCCTGGGTCACAGCCTGGGATGGATCCCTGGATCCCCTGGATCACAGCCTGGGATGGATCCCTGGATCCCCTGGATCACAGCCTGGGATGGATCCCCTGGATCCCAACCTGGGATGGATCCCCTGGATCCCCTGGGTTCCCTGGGTCACAGCCAGGGGATGAATCCTCTGGATCCCAGCCTGGGGATGAATCCCTGGATCCCAAACTGGGATGGGTACCCTGGATCATAGCCTGGGGATGGATCCCTGGATCCCCTGGATCACAGCCTGGGATGGATCCCCTTCCTGCCCCACACCCTGCAGCTGTTGTGGTCCCTCCACGTTGTGCTCACCTCAGTGGAACTTCAGGAATCTGCAGATCCACTTTTCCCTGTGGTCTTCTCCACCCCCAGCTGTGCCAGCCCGGCTCCAGCCCTTGGAATCTCCCTGTTCCCCCTCTGGAATCGCTGCAGCAGCTCCACGTCCTTCCTCAGGGCTCCACCAGGCCAGGGTGGTGGGATGTGCTGTGCCAGCACCTGCCAGGGTTTGGGTTTGGGTTTGGGATGGCACAGCCAAGCCGTGCTGTGGGTGTGCAATCCAGGAGAACAGGAATTACACAATCCCAAAATTCCAGAACCACCAGGCTGGGAGAGACCTCCCAACATCGAGTCCAACCCAGCCCAACCCCTCAACTGAGCCGTGGCACCGAGTGCCACATCCAATCCTTGTTTAAACACACCCAGGGATGGTGACTCCACACTTCCCTGGGCAGACAATTCCAGTATTTTATCACTCTTTCCATAAAAAACTTTTCCCTAATATCCAACCTCAATTTCCCTTGGAAAACGTGTTTCCCTTGGAATGTGTTTCCCTACCAGTTCCCTCACCCTCCCACCATCACCTTCAATTGCTTAAAATTCATTTTCATCCTTCCAAGTGGATGAGCCCCAGCAAAACCCACAAACGTCACGGTTCGATGGAGGTTGCAACAACTTCGTGCTGACCGAGGTTTTTTTTTGGTTTTTTTTTGTTTTTTTGGTTTTTTTGTTTGTTTGTTTTTTGGTTTTTTTTTGTCCTCTGCAAGATCTGCCCCCTCCTGAGCGAGTCTCTGCCCTGGGCCTGGGTAACAGCAGCATCCTGGTGAGCTGGAGCCCCCCTGCTGCAGCCTCTGTGCCTGTTGGGGGGTACGTGGTGGAGTGGGCAGAGCCACACCTGCAGCCCTGGCACACCTGGGTGAAGCTGCCCCCGTCCCACCTGTCCACGGTGATAGCAGGTAAATGTCACCCCGGGCTGGGCACGGCACCGGGTGGCTCTGAAAAGATTTAAAGCAACAAGTCAGGGGTGAATTTTGGCCTCCAAGGCCAGGCTGGATGAGGGTTTGGAGCAGCCTGGGATGGTGGGAGGTGTCCCTGCCCATGGCACTGGATGGGCTTGGAGGTCCCTCCCAACCCAAACCAGTCTGGGATTCTGTATTTCTATATTTCTATATTTCTATAATTTTTACTAAAATCACTGCCAGGGATCCTGGGGCAGCCACAGCTTCTCTGGGCACCCTGTGCCAGCCCTGCCCACCCTCCCAGGGAACAATTCCTGCCCAATATCCCATCCAGCCCTGCCATCAATTTTTTTTAATCATTAATTTTCAGTTTAATGCCCAGTCAGGCTCTGCCAGGCTCAGTAGATCAGAGAAAATTTCTTCCCCTTCTTTATGAAAGTTCTCTCAATAATCACAAGATTTATCTCACATTTAAGCAGCTGCTGCAACATTTCTGCCCTGACTGCAAATCCTTGAACAAGCTGTCATTTCCCAGTCGTCATTTCCCGGTTGTCACTTCCCCGTTGTCATTTCCCAGTTGCCATTCCCCAATTTTCATTTCCCAGCTGTCATTTCCCAGTTATTTCCCAGTTTTCATATCCCAGTTGTCATTTCCCAATTTTCATTTCCCGGTTGTCATTTATTTTCCAGTTTGCCATTTCCCAGTTGCCATTTATTTTCTGGTTGTCACATCCCAATTTTCATTTCCCAATTTTCATTTATTTCCCGGTTGTCATTTCCCAATTTCCATTTCCCAGTTTCCATTTCCCCCTGCAGAGCACATCCGAGATAACCTCTGCTATCACATCCACGTGTCTGCACTTTACCAGGCCAGAGCTGGCCAGGCAGCATCAGTCAGGGGGAACTCCACAGCACAAGGTGAGCCCCAGGAACGCCCCTCCAGATGTTTTTAAGGCATTTTAAGCCCAGCTCTAACACCACTCCTGTGTCTTGCAGCCCCATCAGCTGGGCCCCAGATGTTCACAATCCCCTGGGCCAGAGGTGTCCTGGTTTCCTGGGAGGAGATCCCGGCTCCCCAGCAGAGGGGCTGCATCACTGCTTACCACATTTACGTGCACAGGAGGGCCAGGCAGGGCCAGCCCGAGCTCCACGGTGCGTGCCTGGGGCTGGCAGTGCTGCTCCTGCTCCTCTGTCATCGCTGAACTTCTCCCGTGCCATCATTCCAAGCTGCTTTCAGTCTGGAGCTTTCAGATTTATCCCCGCTTCTTCTCCCTCCTCCTCTTATTCCTCTTCTTCTCCTCCTCCTCCTCTTATTCCTCCTCTTGCCCTTCTTCTTTTTCTTCTTCCTTCTCTTATTCCTCTTCTTACCCTTCTTCTTCCTCTTTCTTCTTTTACTTCTTCCTCCTCCTCTTATTCCTCTTCTTATTCTTCCTCTTCTTATTTTTCTTCCTCTTCCTCCTCCTCTTATTCTTCTTCCTCTTCTTCCTCCTCTTATTCGTCTTCTTGCACTTCTTCTTCCTCTTTTTCCTCCTCTTATTCGTCTTCTTGCACTTCTTCTTCCTCTTTCTTCTCTTACTTTTCTTCCTCTTCCTCCTCCTCTTATTCCTCTTCGTGTTCTTCCTCTTCTTCTTTCTCTTCCTAACCTTCTCCCTTATTTATCCTCCTCCTCTTCTTCTTCTTCCTATTCCTCCTCTTCTTCCTCTTCCCCCTCCCTTTTTCCTTATTCTTCTTCCTCCTCCTCCCCTTTTCCCTCCTCCTCTTCTCCCGTTCCCCCCCCTTTCTCACCTTTATATTCAGAGCCCCGTTCCAGCTGCAGGCGATCAATCCCCGTGCCAGGCTCTCCAATCCCATCCCTGTTTTCCCCGCAGCCATTCCCGCCGGGATCTCTCCTCTCTCCCTGCCCATCCCGGACCTGCAGCCCGGGGAGCGCCACGACCTTTGGATGACAGCGGCGACAGCGGCCGGGGAGGGGCCCCGGGGCAACAGCGACAGCGTCGTCCTGGAAAGTAAAAACCCCTGCAGGATCCTTGCCCTTGGATCCTCTTTTCCACACTCTGGGAATGCTTTTCCTGCTCCTCTGGAATCATTGGAGCTCTCCAAGATCTCTTGGTGCTCTTGAGCTTTGTAGATTTGTAGTTTCAGCTGTTTTTAGGATGTGGCAGCTCTGTGTTTGTCTTGAAGCTGCCAGTGCCGTGCTGAGATGTTTCCTGGGAGCTGAGGGTGGTTTATTCACGGAGCACAGAAAGATTTGGGGTTTTTTTTTCCATCTTTTTTTGATGGAGATGAACGGTGGCTGCTCTGCATTTCAGGTGCCAGGGGCTGGGTGACTCTGGTGCTCATCATCTGCAGCTTCCTCATCCTCTCAGCCTGTGTTTGTTCTGTGCCTCCAGCAAGGAAAGTGTGAGTGGATCCATCGGCTGCATCCCAGGAAAACTGGGATGGTTATTGGGAGGGATAAAATCCCAGACTGGTTTGGGTTGGAAGGGATCTTAAATCCCACCCAGTGCCACCCCTGCCGTGGCAGGGACACCTCCCACTGTGCCAGGGTGTCCCAACCTGGCCTTGGGCACTGCCAGGGATCCAGGGGCAGCCACAGCAAATCTGGGCACCCTGTGCCAGGGCATTTTAAAATTATTTTCTCCCATCTGATCTAAATCAATTCTCTTTTAGTTTAAAACCATTTTCCCTTGTCCTATGGGATGGTCACGCCCCTTCATGAGCATGGATCAATCCTTCGTGAGGATTGTTCAAAATGAAAGTTTCAGAGTACGTGAATGATAACAGAAACGGACTCTGAGCATAAAATACACCTGTAGGCCATAGATATTGTCAATTTTTAACCAGATTTTGAAACCAAACTGAAGGGGAGCAATCCTTGGGATTTATCCCCACCCAGCCAAGAGCTCTGCAGATCCAGGATCACACCTGGGTTAATTCCATAACCAGGATCCACAATCACATTTGAATTAATTCCATAACCAGGATCCAGGATCACACCTGGGTTAATTCCACACCCAGGATCCAGGATCACACCTGGGTTAATTCCATAACCACGATCCAGGATCACACCTCGGTTAATTCCACATCCAGGATTACATCTGGGTTAATTCCATAACCAGGATCCACAATCACACCTGGGTTAATTCCACACCCAAGGAGCACAAGGGTGCTGCAGGTGTCACCATTCACGTTTTTAATCTCATTTATCCTTCCTGCAGATTCCTGTCCCTCCTCCTGCCACAGTGGCAGAGCAAAGCCATTCCCGACCCTGCCAATGCCACGTGGGCCAAGAGCTTAGCGGCTACCAAGGTAAATTAGAGGGGTTTTTCATTCTAATCCCACAACTTCATTTAAAAAAAAAAAAGGAAAAAAAAAATAAAAAAGGCAATGGGAGCCATGCAAAGCAGTAATCTCCTAAAGCAGCAAATCCAGCAATCTCTGGCAGTGGATAATCTCTACTGGAGGAGGCTGCTGGGCAAATTAACCACCAGAAGAAGGCGGAGATATTCCATTTTTTTTTTTTTTTTTTTAGCAGGATGAGTCCCGGGAGATGCTTGCCGGGATTTATTGGATTTATTTCGTGTCTTTCCACCCCCTCTGCAGGCGGAGCTGAGCGCTCCCTCCAACCCCTTCCTGCCCTGCCCCTTCGAAGAGCCCGAAACGAGCCCGGTGGAGGAAACCGAGAGAGAAAAAACCTCGGTGGAGGAAAAAACCTCGGTGGACCCTGAGTCCCCCATCCCTGGGGAAATGATCCCTGGGGGGATGATCCTTGGGGACAAACAGCAGCTCCCGGGGCTCTACCGGAGGTTGTTGCTGGAGGCGATGGAGCCCGTGGGCGAATACATTTCCAATCCTGGCATCTCCTCCGGGCTGCACCGAACCCCCGAGCCCGAGCCCAGCCCCTTCTCCATCTTCCCGAGGGCATTGCTGACCCCTGAGCTCTGCTGCCAAGGGAATCTCACTTTGGATCGAGTGAAACTCAACTGCAGCTCCTGGCCAAGGTAGGCAGAGGGCGATGTGAGACCGGCACGAGTTTTGGCACTTTACGAAATATTTTGGTGTTTTCCTAAGAGATCAGTCCGGATTTGGGCACTTTACAATCAGTGTTTCAATATGAGCTCAGCCTGGATTTGGGCACTTTACAAAATATTTTGGTATTTTGATGAAAGCTCAGCTGGCTTTGGACACTTTACAGAGTATTTCTGTGTGTTTTGATGTGAGCCTGGCCTGGATTTTGGCATTTCCACGGAATATTTCAGTGTTCCAGCACTGCCACTCACATGTGACACCTCCAAGTGACAAAACCCTTCCCCAGTCACACCTCACCATAGGACACGGCTGCTCCTCTGCACACTCTGCAATCTGGGGATGCCAGAGCTGGATTTGGGGGATTTGGGGGGATTTTGGGAGCCCTTCCTGCACCTGGCACCAAGTCCCAGATTCCCCAGTGACACCAGAGCCACCTTCCTTGCATCAGTTCAGGGCAGGAAAATTCCTCACCAGAACTAAAAGCAGCAGGAAGCATCTGTACTCAGTCAAATGGATTGTCAAGAGGAATTTCAGTGATTTATTGGAGTGTTCTAATTACAGGCTGGGAGGGTGTTACACATTTAATGACTTTGTTTACCACATGTGTGTATATAAATAAAATGTTGGAAATACGAACTTGGCTTCCTGTTGTTTTCTCTGGTCAAGCTCCAGCTTTACAAAGAACAATTCAAAATTCAAAAGAAAGCAGTTAGAGATGGAGCAGCCCAGGTATGAACTTACCTGGAGCATCCTCTGCATCCCCAGCCAGGGACTCGGGCTGCTGCTGCCACCATTCAAGTTTTGGGTATTGCCAAAAAGCAGCTCAGATATTTAATTTTGGGCTTCTGAGGTCTGGTCCCACACCTCTGTCACCTGGCTGGGTGTTCTCAGAGGAAAACATCTCCCTCAGAACTGGGTCAGACATCCAAAAAAAACCCAGAATTTGCTTCCTGCTCTTCACAGCCTGCCTGGGATCCACCCTGGCACGGGGATTGTGCCTGAGCACAACTCAGCCCTCAAGTCAGCTCTGCAAACCACAGGGAACTGGAAAGGCAAATTAAATGCCAAAAAAGTTTTTTTTTAAATAAAGCACTGTTTTTCCATTCATCTTTTTCTGCATGTTGATTTTCTACCTCAACATAAGAGAACACTGAATTCATTTCCTCCTCGCTCTGCAGATCTCTAAACCCATCAAAATGTGGAATTTCATGTCCAGCCTCACTCCAAGAGACAAGAGCCAGACTTCTGGAACTCCAGCCAGGGAAGTCCCTCAGTGATGGCCCTGAACACCCTCAGGATTTTTTTCCCCCTCAGGATTTCCCCTTTCCAGCAGGAAAATCAGCTTTGGCTTTCCTGGGGCCACCCCAAGAGCGGAGCCTGGGCCCACGAGTGGCCAGGGCAGGGCCTTTGCTCCTTGGAATGACTCTGGGAAAGCAGCAGGTTGGCACAGCTGGAGCTGGCACAGCTGGCACAGCTGGAAGTGGCACCTTTGGGTGCCAGTGCTGGCTTTGTTAAAGCTCAGCTCTGGCTCTGCAAACTCACCCCCATGGACAGAGCTGTCACAGGCTCAGCTCCTCCTGCTGCTGCCACCTCACGTTCCCGAGGATTCCCTGACATTCCAGGAGAATCCAGGTCCTTTCCCACATAATTAATTCTGGAATAAATCCATCAAACCCCCCCTGCTCCCTCCCAGAATTCCAGCTCTGAGATCAATTTCCCTGCCCAAACCTTCATTCCAAAGCCGATTTGTTCCGTGCTTCCAAATTTTTTCTGCTCTTTTTCCCAAAGGATCAGAATTTAAAAGTTGTAGTCCCCACGATTTGGTGCGACAGCAGGAGCAAGAGGACAGAAAATATTCCTATAATCGAGTTCAGTAATCAGAAATAACTTACTTGAGAGATGTTTTTCCAAGGCAAAATCCATCCTGGGAATGGGAATTCAAGCTGGACTTCCTGGGACAGACCTTCGATGAGCCACTATGAACCTAAGTGCTTTCATTTCCATGTGTTTCCAAGACTTTTTTTTTTGTTTTTTTTTTTTTAAAGAGCATGAAAATAAACCTTTATTTCAGTTAACACCCACCAATATTAAAGAGAAATGTTCACAGTTTAAGTTCTTGACACAAATGGATGGAAAGAGGCGAATTTACATCTGGCAGAAGAGCAGAAGGAGCAATTCTAAGTTACAAGCTGTGTTGAAAATTGCTCTAGGTGCTATTTGGGAATGCTCTAGAGCAGGAAAGGAGAAAATCCAGCCAGCAAAATCACCTGGGTGCCAACTGGGAAAAGCAAATCGTTTGGATGAAGGAAGGTTTGTGTTCTAGGGAAAGCTTTGCTCCGTGTTTGTGTTTGCTGTGTGATCCTAAGGATGGAATTGCAGCACATCCCACCAAAAAAAAAAAAACGGGACAGGGAAAAGGAACAAAGGAACAACTCTGCCCCTACAACAGCCCCACACCGAGAGCAGAGCCAGGACAGGGGAACCAAGAGATTCCCCCACCCTCTGCTGGAAAATTCGCCTCTTTCTCCTGCCTGGGAATGGAAATCCAGGGGAGGGAAGTGATCCATGATATTCCCAGAGGGTGACAGGGCCAGCTCTGGTGGGACACAGCTCAGGAAAAGCAAAGGCAGCTGCTGTTCCACACTCCAAGGTCTCCAACACTTTCTGCCTGTCCTGTACAGTTTTTATAAAAATAGGGAGTTACCTTTCCTTTCCTACCTACCTAAGACACCATAAATGCGTTCTGAGCTGGCCAAAGAGGAAAACACGAAATAAAAGCAGAGATTTGTTCTTATTCTCCCGAGCAAATGCTGATAAAAGCCCGAAGAAATCTTCTTTATCAGTCATTCACTCACAATTCTTTTTGTGTGCTGAAGGGATACACGGGCATGGAACTGAACTTAGGGGGGGGATTTGGAATTTCTTACAATCATTCCCTGGAAAAACAAGCCTTGGTGATGTCCCAAAGAAAACCTGAGCTCTGCACTGAGCCAGAGCTGCTTCCTGGGGACACCTGGAGCAGTGCTGGGAATGTCTCAGCTCCTCCTGGAGCTGTGTGGCAATCCCAGAGCCCAGCTGGAATCCCGGGATTGCAGAGCCACAGCTGCCACCTTCCCCCCATTCCCAGATCCAACAATTACCCCAAACTCAGGGAATCCCAGTTCCAAGGACAGGAATTATCCTAAAATTGAGGTATTGCAGTTCCAAGGCCAGGAATTACCCCAAACTCAGGGAATCCCAGCTCCAACAGCAAGAATGATCCCAAACTCATGGAATCCCAGCTCCAAGGACAGGAATTATCTGTATTTCAGGGTATCCCAGCTCCAACAACAGAAATTCCCCCACTCTCAGGGTATCCTCTCAAACAAAAAGCAAAAGGTAATTTAAAAACTTTTTTTTCTTTTTTTTTTTTTTGCCAACAAAGCATCTTGTTCTGTTGAAGGGAAGGAGGAAGGATGAAGGTTCAAAGGGGGAGTGGTGAAAGGTGGGATACAGGAATTTTAAAAACCTGGTTTTCAGACCAGTTACCCATTGCTGGATCCATACAGATATTGAATCATAAACCAAATGTGCTTTGAATCTTGATTTCAAGTATCTGCTTTCAAATTTTCTAGAAAGGTTTTGTGTAAACAAAACTACCCGAGAGAGATGAAAAAAAAAATAAAAAAAAAATGACTGGTTTTCCATGTTGGAAATGAAATTTAAAGTACTCCAGGAGTTCCTTCCATACAGCACTAACAGTCTGCCCAAATTAATATCCCACAGATAGAAATCTGTGAAATCTGAGAAAAATCTGCCAAAAAGGAATTAAGGAAACTGAAGTAGTGTGCAAGAATTCAAACCTAGTTTGGAGTTTGGGGGTGGAAGGGGGAAGGAAGTGGGGGGAGAGGGAAAAGTCTAAAATCCTGAATTTAAAAAAAAAAAAAAAAAAAAAAAAAAAAAAGAAAAAAGAACACAAATGAAGGGAAAGCTTTGAACTGGTACACACTGTTCACACCTATATTTTTCAAGTTTGGAAACGCATATTTTCAAGCAGCAATACAAAAAAGTATCCATGAAGAATGCATAATCTCTGAAAAAATTATGAAAACATCCCTGCTACCATTACATTTCTAAATACAAAACTTGACTACCATATTTGTTGCTTCTGTGTAGCGAGAGAAGTTCATTTTCAAAACAGATAAAATTCAGTCTTTAGGTGTGAATGGTATGAATGACAGTCTCTTTTTTTTTTTTTTTTTTTGTTTTGTTTTGTGGGGTTTTGTTTTTTGTTTTTTGTTTTTTTTTTCTCTCAATTTCTTAGTTGTTTTAGGATCCTTAAGCATGCAAGCCTCGGAGAGGAAGGCCCCACCAGGGCAGGGTTGGCTTTATGACATCCAGTTTAGGACAGAGCTGGGAAAGCCTCTGGGTCATCTACATCAGGAGCAGAAGCACTTGACTGAAAAAGAAATATCACAGAGTTACTGCCTTGAGGCAGAGCTGGCAGCACTTTGGGATGGAGAAATTATTACAAAAACATCTTTTTTTTTTATTTATTTATTCCAAGGATTATAAAGCTTCCTATACTGTTTTTCTGGGGCTTTTTTTGGGGTTTTTTTTTTTTTTTTTTGAGAGGAATTGATGTTTGAACATCATTATTGCACAATTCTCTTTTTAAAGAATGGTCTGGCTTGGGAGGGAGACCTTAAAGGTCATGGAATTCCAACCTCCTGCCATGGGCAAATCCTTCCCCTGTGGATCAATCCTCACTGAAGGACTGAAATGGCCCTGTCTGGAGCATAAACTAAGGGTTTTTTTATTTAGTTGAATATTCTAATTTTTCATTCAGTTTCGTTTTTCCCCACTCAGATGTTGATAAAAGTAATTTTTGTGCCAAATTTCATTCATTAGCCAAAGATCTCCTCAGCAGTTTCCAACAGAGTTTTTTGAAAGTCTCTGCACCACATCTAAGAACCAGTGCAGAAATTAAGAATTTCACACTCTTCACTTGGTCCTTGGAAACGAATGGGAAGAGCCAAGACAGTGGAACTTTCTGTCATGACATTAATTTATCAAGAAATAAGATTTTAAATCAGAGTTGCATCAACACCTGTAACTGCAGAGTCTCTGCCTTGCCTAAGACTCCAAAGGCCACAAACCAGAATTAAAAAAATAACAGCAGGGTTTAAGCTGTAGGCTCAGCACACAAGAACAGGAACAGCCAAAAAAAAAAAGAAAAGGAGAAGTTTTTGGTCCCCTGATCCCAGGGAATGCACAAGCAAAGCTCACCCACCTGGTTGGGCGTGTGGATCACATCAAACTCCTTGACCAACTGCAAGGAAAAACAAAAGAAAACACAAAAGTCAGGTGTAGGAAAGCTTGGAATTACTTTATGGCAGCATTCAAAGCAAATCAGCACTGTTTTAATTTTAATTCTTTAAAATGTTCTGATGTTGTTGTCAGGAGAGAGGTAAAATTCCCAACTAATAAACTAAAATTTGTGAAGTCTTTGTCTGCCAGAAGGGACAAAAAAAGAGCAAATCTGTGTGAATAAAACCACAGCACAGACTGAGCTCATTTTCCAATCAGTAACAATTTGATTGATGCTTTTAAAGCAAGTGATTCATAATAAATCAAATCTTCACATATTGAACTTGACATATTCTTTCCTAAACCCCATTCAGTATTTTCCCAGGGTATTCCCCTGGTGCTTTAGCACCAAAGAAAGGGGAAAAAAAAAACATTCCTGGAGGTTAGAGAAAAACCAGTAAGAGCCTTGTTCACAACTGGAAAATGTGAATTGCTCAGGTTCAAGAAGTGACTGTACATGCAGTGTTTAACCCCCAGCAGCTCCCACTGCACTGAAAATAAACTCAACCCAGCATTTGTGCTTCTGCTCTGGCACAATACCATGGGATATTCACGACATGACAACACTGCTCTGACACATTCACCCTTTCCTTGCTTTAAAGCTGAGCTTTGCACAGAAAAGATTTTTTTATTTTTTTCCTCTCGAGCATCTCCGACCAAAAATCAACGAGATGCCAGGAGGAGAAAAAAAAAAAAGGATTGAGGGGCGAGCTGGGGGGTGCTGTTCCTTCCTTTTTTTTTTTTTTTTCTTTTTTTTTTTCTCTCACCTTGTCAGTCCTGCCTCCACGGCTGGCCCTGCCCCCGCGGCCCCGGCCCCCCCTGCCCCCTCTGCCGCCGCGCCCGGGGCGTCCCAGGTCTCCGAAGTTGATCTCCAGCTGGGATGTGATGTCGTTGGCTGGTTTACGGAAATGGTGATCCATGACCGAGTCCTCAGCGTGAGCCTGAAGGGGAAGGGAGGGTTCCATCAGTAAAGAAATGTCACCTCAGTTCCCTTCTGTCACATCCCCCCCCCCCACTGGCCGTTCCCTTGGGGAAATTGTGATTTCGTACAAAAAAAAAAACCAACGCGATTTTTGGTTTTCAATTCACGCAATGGTTGAGGGTTGGAAAAAAATCCTCCAGGATTCGAGGGTAACCTGCACCCAAATCCCTACACCTTGTCAACAGCTCCAAACCTCCCTGGGCAGCTCCTTCCAATGCCTCACCACCCTTTCCATGGAGAAATCCTTCCCAAAATTCCATCAGAGCAACGTGTCCTCATCCCACACCAAGTACAGAACCTCACGTTGTAGCAATTCCCATTTTGTCTCCTGGTTCCATCAATTCCTTCCATTCTTTTTCCCACTCTTGGTCACCCATCCTTCTTTTTTCCCCCTGAGGATTTACATTTTATTTGCTTTAGCCCTTGGTAAATAAAAAAAAAACCTTAAAACTGCTGAGAATCCCTCACTGCTCTGCATCCACTGTAACAGCAAATGAGGCACAAAAAACTCAAATAAAAGGAAGTGAAGGAGCTGAAATGGAACCGGTTTCACCAGTGACACTGGGAAATGGGGATCTCAGCACCTTTGCCATGATATTCCTGCTTTGTCATGATATTCCTGCTTTGTTCCCAGTGCATTTGGTGCAAACCCAAGCCTGGGATGCTCCCAGGAATTACAAACACCAGCAAAGTTATTATTCAGCACCTCGGAAAATTTCAGTTACACACTGAACCCCACCAGGTGTTTTTAATGCAATTATTTCTCCTATTTAACACAATTTTTTTTTCCCCATGTGAAAGCCAGTTTCTGGCATCAAGGATAACATAAAAAAAAATGTAAAAACCTGCTTATTAGCAAACATGGAAATATTCAACACTTCCCTCCAAGTCCCCAACTCCTGGTTTTCCTACACAAATGCCATGTGCAGGCTCAAGCTTCCCAACTCCAACTGGATTTTCTGCTGCAGTTACACAACATTTGGGCTTTCAAAGGCAACACACGCTGTAATTAATCCCTGTACTTTTTAATTATCATTTGTGGAGCCTTCACGAGGCTGGAGAGGTCTGGAGTTAAAGCTGCTGTCAGGAATTCCATGGGTCCTTCCCAAAAATCTCATCCGTCCCTGCCATTCCCCCTTGTCCCCAATTTAATTAAAAATACCCCTTTCATGTTGCTTTATTTCCAACACATTCCACTGGGATGGATCCCACAGAACACCTGATTTTATTCATTTCCTTGTACACCCTTCCCTTGGAAATTTCTTTGCCAAACTCAGGGAATTTGTCTCAACAAAGAAAAGTCATTCCATGCCTCAGCCTGACATGGAACTACTCAAAACCTAACACTGACACTCTGTAAAACACTACAGAACACCTTAGACGTGTTTTAAATTCCTTTCTTGCCATTTAATTTTTTATCTGGAGAGTTTTTATCACTGCAGGCTACTGAGATTCTATTTCCAACCACAGGTAACCATGTGAGAATTCCCTTTTCTGAGTGGTGGGATCGATGGATTTGTACAATATTTCTGTGCATTTCCAGCCCTATGCTACTTTTAATTAAAAATAAATCACTACAGTTTACCAAAAATCATTGTATTTCCACTTTGGTGAAAACACTGAATCAACAAATTGTAAATTCCCTAAGAGACTTGATGATTTCTCTATCCAAAGGAATTAAAGGTGTTTTAGAAGACTTGGAACATTGTCCTCAGCCTCTTCCACCACTTGGGTGAGAATTCAGAGATACTGAATAATTTGTTTATCCTGAATAATCCCGAGAAACATTAAATTTGTATGTATTGGTGAATCAATAGTGCTCTGATTTAATAACTGATCACTTCCTGAAGGCACTGCTGCACTTGAGGGTCTTGGGGAAAGCTGTCAAAAATTAAGAACAAACTACAAAGAGAGCCAAAGCAGACAGTGAGAGATGGAAAAACAGCAGCAAAAAATAATAAAAAAATAGAGATTCATGATAGAAGCTTTTCTGATAAGATTTGAAATCAGCAGGATGAGGAACAAGGGGGACTAAAACCATGCTGGGTGGTGCAGCGTGAGACAAGAGGCATGGACAGAAAAGCTCCACGTTCAGTAAAATCCTGCATTTGGGTGAGTTTTTAATGTCCAAACTGATATTAATTATCAGTTCCCTGCTGAAGGAATGACCAGTGAGAGAGAAAGGATCACAGAGCTCACTTGAATCCAGCAGACTCCCCTGAATTTGTGTCACGGCCTTTGTCTGGTGACAGTTGTGTGCCCACGCCAAAGTGACAAAAGGAACAAAGGGAGAAAACAAAAAGGAAAAAAATGAGACTCGACTTCACACAGGAACAACAGTTCAGGCCACAGGAGCTGCTGGGGCAGCTGGCACCGAGCACATGGAGCAGCCAGAGAGACACAACAGCATGGATGGGAAATGTGGACACAGCTCAGGTGGAGGGACAGCAAAAAAGAAAAAAGCTCAGGTGGAGGGACACCAAAAAAGAACAAAACTCAGGTGGAGGGACACCAAAAGTTGCCCAGGAGCTGCTGAAGCCCTGGCAGATTCCACACAGGCACAGAGATGGGGAGGGCTGGGATGTTTGAATCCCTGTCCATGGAAATCTTCCTGCAGAGCTTTCATTCCAGGGCCATTCCTCTCAGCTTTGAGGAGAGGAATTATTCTTTTCCAAAATACATTTCCTAATCTCCCACTGCAACCTCCTCTAAGGAAGGGGTTGGTTTTGTGAAGAGGTTTGAAGAGACACAGAGATCGACTGGGTATCAGTTTTTCCAGGATAAAATTCCAGGACTTTTGGGATAAATTTTAGGATCTTTCCACAATGTAACTCGTTCCTGTTTTTTTGCAGGAATTGAAGACTCGAGTCCCTAAAACATCTGCAGGGAAAAAAAGAGGATCTCAGTTTTATGGCATAACCCTGAGTCCTGGGAAAAGCCTCACTGGACAGAGCTGCTGGTACCCCTGGATTTCAGATTAAAGCTGCAAGAACCTGAGACAGAACTGAGAGTTTATTTTAAAAGTACCTGTAAATGGGAAAAAAAAAGAAGATCTCAGGCAGGGCCAAGCATTTCAGCCCTCAGTGAGGAGGAAAAGGAGGACAGCTCTTCCCCCAGACTGAGCAGCATCAGATCCTCATTTCTCCCTTTTCCCAGAATCCTGGGGCATTCTCCAAGGAGTTCTCAAGCTACAGGAATGCAGGTGCTCATCACAACACTTCAAATTCCTGAGGCAATTATTGGGGCACACAGTGTTTTTCAGCCATAAGATTTGCTAAAAACCAAAATTTACCTATAAACCAAATCACTTCCACACATAATCTCCCTTCTTACCGGTGAAAAATCAGAAAAACCTCAATTTCTTGATTCCTAAGTACATCCAAGAGGACAAAAAGAGGAAACAGCAGGTAAGTGGTGGTTTTTAAAAGTATTTTGCTTTCTAAAGCTGCTCACAAAGGAGCTGCAGTGGAAGCTTTGCTAACTCCTGTATTAGAGAGCTATTCTCCAATAATCCTGAGAGAAAATCCCCACACTGCTTCCCATGGGATGAGGGAACAATGAAGAAGGGAGATGGGGAGACACATGTGCTGGATGTACAATAAAGCAGGCTAAAAGCAGCTCCATTTAAAGGCAGATTTGTTAATACCTCACTTTCATGCTTACACAGCAAGAGGCTGTCACCTTCTTATGTGATGGTGCTAAAAATATCCAACTTGTTTATTTGAGAAGTTCACCTCTTAAACAGAACAATCTACTAATTATGGCAGGTCTTCCACGGGAGTAATTTGATTATTCATAGGTTTTGTTCAGATTATTTCATTTGTTATTGGTTTTGTTTGGGTTTTTTTTTTCCCTCCATTTTTTGTTTAGTTATCTGATTCAGTTTTTAAATGGAAAATACAGTCTGGATCATTCTAGCCTCTAAATTTCTCCCAAGTAGCATCACCTTTATTATCACATATGCTCATATGTTAAATAAAAAGTGCCCTCGGATGAGTAAATGTCAAATAAATCTGATTCAGTGAGACTGAGGGAATTTGAAGAACTACAGCTTTAGTAAATCTTGCTGAAGTACATAAATACTTCTGCTTAATGCATTCTTTCAGCACACAACAACATTAAATGTAACTCAAATTCCCTTTTCCACCAGAGAAAGCAGCATTTAATGAACACTTGAGTGAAAAGCTCAAAGGAGACTCAGCCATGCAATCATTTCTAGAACTGAACTACCCCACACGGCCAGAAAACTGATCTGTGACTAAAGTCAAACTCACTGGGAGCTCAATCAGAGCAGAAATGGAACTTTCACTGGAACACTGGATCATGTCCCAGCCCCCAGGAGTAAAACTGGCACGGTGTGGAAAAAGCAGGAGAACATTTTAGGAGAGCAAACAGAGCACTGCACACCCTCCAGTCACTTCAAAGCACCATCACCATACAAAGCTGCAGCCACCAATCTCTTAAGTGAGCTGCTTAAAATCATACAGAGTGTTAAAAACACCGATTAAAATTAAAGATTAGCACAGCCCTGCATTACAAAACAAGAGCTCTCTGTCAATTCCCTCCCTTGTGCATCTCCCCTTGCCACTCTTGGAACAGAAGAATGAACATTATGCAATGCCTGAAAGGAGAAACTACACATTTAAAACAATTTTACAGCAGCTATGCTGAGTGTCACAGGAGCACAGAAATCATTTGCACTGCCTTGCCGAGAGCTTGTCTGTGTCACAGCACTCAGTGAGGAGACACCCACGACACAAATTTCAGATGTAAGGTTTGGTTTGAGGTCTCAGAGGCAGGACCAGTGTTCCTTGAAGCACCACGAACCTGTGTGCTGCAGAACAGATGCTAAATAACACGAGTCGCCTTTTTTTTTTTTTTTTTTAGAAAGCAAACTCGACAACATTCTCCCCTAAAACTCTCACCAAGAGGCAATTCTTACAAACCCAAGGGCACAGCTCAGCTCCTGAACCCAACCACGGTCACAATGGCCACTTGAAGTTTCAATTTGCTAAAAGAACGTTGCTCAAACGAACAAAAACAAAGTTCAAATCTTTTAAAAAAAACCAAAAAAACGATGTTCCCAACTTTCTAAACTTCCAACTCCAGGTCAGCATCTCCCAGAAGGGAACTCCCACTGTAAAAAAAATGCTCATCGATGACAAAGAGGACACACTCCAAGCACGGAAAGGCACTTTACCTCCTCACTCTTTGACTTGTGGAGCACAAATCCTTTTTTCCATTGCCCATCAGCTCCCTCGTTTGGTTTGCGGATGTTGAACTCGACTTTTGCACGATCCTTGCTTTGAATGGCTTTCCACTCATCCAGGGTCATTTCCTTAGGGCCTTCTTCCTTCACTTCTTCAACCTCGTTCTCTCTGGAGTGAATTCATGGAGATTGTGGTCAAAACTAAGGATTTACACTCTGGATACAATTTCCAAGATCATCTGCTGGTTGGTAGCAGGTTATAAATTGAATTTTGTCAAGGATTTAACAGTTAAGAGGTGGAAATATAAACACTCGTTTTCACCACATGGAAATTTATCTCCTTTAGAGGGAGTGCCAAAAAAATTCCACACCCAGCCACCTCTGAGCACAGCAAAATGTTAAAAACTAAAACTGACCCACGCCATCAAATCCCCACATTACTGTTAATTTTATTTCCAAATCTGAAAGCCTAACTTCTGTCATGACTTGTTTGGAGCTCCTTCCCCCCCTTTTTTGAAATACATCTCATAAATTATTCAAGTCAAGGCAGTGAAAAGAACTCGTTCTTCCCACAGTTTTTAAGCTTTTTAGTATTTAAAAAAAAAAAATCAGAATTTAAGCAGCTTTGGATAATTTGCTTCCTTTGTTGAACCAAAGATAATTATTCAAACAAGTTTTATTTCCAGCTAATCTGAAAAAATAACAGCACACATCTTATTTGTGAGATACAGCACCTGTACCTTGTGCCAAAGGCTATTTAAAAATAAAACACACAACCACTGTGCTCAATAACAGATCAAATTCCAGCTACTGGAAGCCTCTGGTCATTGTTCAGTTTGTTTATGCATCTGAATTTCTGATTTATAGGAAACCAATGCTGCACATGTGCAGCAAAAAGATCATGAAAGCCTCAATTTCAAAGGTTTTCATCTGGCAGGCATTAATTTTGAACAATAATGCAAAGATTTTACATCAGAATTACTGTATTTCAACTTCTGCTCATTGTGTAGCAGAGAATTATTTTTGACACGGGATATAATCAGAATTTGTTTTGTTCAAGGCAAAGATTTTGCTGCAATAAAACATCCTACAGTTCTGCTGAAACACTGAGGGCAAACATCCACATAAAACCAGACAATTCAAGTTACCCATGTGGAGATGCTTTTCTATAAAGAGAAAGTTTTTAGCGAGGCAATCAAGCCATAGCAAACAACACTTTAGGAACAAGTATTTCAAAATTCTCTTTGCATTTTTTTTGAGTCTTCTACAAAGCTCACACCTCATTAAAATACATTATTCACACTAGGCTGCCATAAAAACGTGTATTGTATTTTTACATCAACTCAGTATCAGTAAAGCTCTTTCTGCTCCTCTGGTTACTCTTTCATTCATCCAATGCTGGTTCCTGCTGTAACAGTGTCCAAGTGAGATGGGAAAAGATCCAGGTAACTTTGCAAACTGCCTGGAGAATCAAAGATACAACCTTTCTCCTACAGCTCAGTCACACGGTCTCCAAGGCTGTTTTGGAAAATCAAGTTTAAAAAAGTTGCCTTCCACTGCCATTTCTTGGTGTTTCTACCTAATCTGAGCACGGCTGCTTTTGGGTTTGGAATTTTGGAGTTTAAAAACGTATTAGAAATAAATCTGAAAGAACTTGCAGGACACCAAGGAATGGTTTTAAAGACAACAACTTGCAGACACGAGGTTTTTAAGGAGACTCATTCAGCAGCTCTGAGAAATGTGAATTTGGCCAAAAAGTGGGAATAAACAGCAGAGGTTCAAGGTAAAGCAGCCCAGGAGCACAGAGGGGTGGTACTCACTTGTTTTCAGAATCAGCAGGCGGGTGCTCCTCTCCCTCTGGCGTTTCCTCAGTTACAGCTGACTGATCCAATTCACTGCAATTACATAACGTTGGCAGTTGGGGCTTTTTTACAACTTCATCCCTCTCTAAAGCTATGTAAGATTAACAATCAAGATCTACAGTGGATTTACTGTTTCAGTAAGCTCTCTGTGCTTTTTAAATTCTATGCTTTCACTTAACTAATGTTTTTTTTTTTTTTTTCCCAATGTTTCCTATTACTCCTCCTGAAATGCTCTTGCTGTCCCTTCAAACACAAAATGGATTTGGGCATTAAAAATAGATTTCAATGGGATAGCTGAATTTTTGTAATATAAAATGCATGCTTAGCCTGATCAAAATTTGTAAAATGAAACTGTTCTGTTTTTTAGTAAAGAATTGTTACCAAACCAACACAAGACCTCCCAAACTCCCCCAAAATTCTGGTTGAACAGTGAAACCATCCTTATGTCACAAGGAATCGCTTGGGGGGGGAGGGGTTTTAAACTCTGCACAAGCACGGCAAAAAAAACCCATGGAGATCAAAAGCAAAAAGGCAGCTAAACCTGGGTGTTCTACAAGCCATAATTAGAGCTAATTAACAGAGTGCTAATGGTTTTCTGAGCAATGACAGGGTACTAACGTTAGCTCGTCTTTGACGGTTCCCCAGTTGTGTGATCCGCTGCCCCCGCGCTTGTCCTCGTGCTTTAGGCCGCTGAAATGTGAATGTGAAACAGAACTAACAAAACTGAGTTAACATTATAGTGTCCGGACACAGCAATTCAAAAGATCAATTTGAAACTGGGGAGGGGGGGGTCAGAGTGATAAAGAAAAGCCAAAAAAAAAAAAAAAAAAAAAAAAAAAAAAGAGGCGGGGAAGAGGTGAAAACTCACGATCTATCGCTGCCGCTGTGTCTGTCGAATTCCCGTTTGCCACGAGAGTCAAATCCATCTCCTCGGCCCATGCCACGGCCACGGCCACGGCCCCGGCCCAGCCCACCACGGCCACGCATGGGCCTGTCCACGATGGGTCTGCCAAGGAACAGCCACAGCTCAGCGATTCACATCAGCATTTCGTGCTCTTGTCCCTCTCCTTTGAGGATTTTGTTGACTCGGTTTTACTTGTTTTTTTTTTTTTTTGGCATCGAATGATTTGCCTTCAAAAACATGGTTCTTTCTCCTCTTTGAGAACTTTATTTACTTGTTTTTTCTCGTAGCTGGGTTCAGACTCTAAATTCGAAAAAGTCAGTCCCCCATCCCTGCAAGTGTCCAAGGCCAGGTTGGAAAGGCTTGGAATAATCTGGGATAGTGGAAGGTGCCCCTGCCCTTGGTATGGGTTGGAACCAGATCACCTTTAAGGTCCCTTCCAACCCAAACCATTCTAATTTGGTTGATTTCATGAACCAATCTGGTTCCATGATTTTAGAATTCAGGATTGCTGTTTGTTTGCATCTTCTGGCACTAATTCCAAAATTTAATCTTTGTGCTGGGTTACACAATTAACTGATGCTACAACTGCAACTGAACTCACTTTTATCCAACTTGCTTCTAAAAGGATTTGAACTAAGGCAACTAAAACTTTAGTATTTGAACATTACTTGAATTCTGGCTGCCTCACAATACTCAAGAGAGTTTAAATTGCATGTAGGTCTAAGATTGCTTCACCACTTCAGGTCTGAAGCCATTGCAGCCAAGGTACAAACACCTATGTGGACAAACTTTAGCTGGCTTTAAGTCAGCTGTGCAGATTGAAGTCACAGCTGTAACAGCAAACAAATCTCATCCTGCAGGAAACAGCTATGCCTGGATTCCCTTCCTGAGCTATCTGCTGTAGATGTAGAGAAATATGGTGAATATATTGATTTAAACTATAATTCATACCTATGAACCTGTTCATGTAGATCACTGCCAGCTTAAAACTCGAGTTAAGTTTGCAAACAAAACCACGGAAAAAGGAAGCGTTAGAGTCTGCATGACAGGAATTTCATCTTCAGCTGTCTGCTGTAGAGAAACAGGGTGAATATCTTGATTTCAACCCTAATTCAGTTTTAAACCACAATTAATACCTATGAACCTGTTCATGTAGATCACTGCCAGCTTAAAACTCGAGTTAAGTTTACAAACAAAACCACGGAAAAAGGAGGCGTTAGGGTCTGCATGACAGAATTTCATCTTGACTCGATTTTTTTTTTTTTTTACCTGAGCAGCAGGAGGTGAGAGAGCCCTGTCCTGCCCAAGCTAGGAAAGCTGTTTAGCATCAAGACAAAACTCTTACTTATCCACAGAGAACTCTCCTCCCTCGCCCTTGTCCTCGGCGGGTTTCTCGAAGCGGCGCTCGCGGGGAGGTCGTCGCTCGGGTCTCCTGTCGATGGGTTTGCCTTCACCCTGCTGCTGTTGCTGCTGCTGCTGATCAGGCCTCCTGCCAATCCTCCTTATCCCTGAAACATCAGGCAGACACATCAACGGAATGTGGAGTGCTCCAGGAGAGATATCGAGCCCACCAAAGGCAAACAAGAGGGAAGTGAAGTTTTATTTGTGCATAAAACGAGCAACTCTGCTTTCACCTGACTCTTCTCAGTCACATTTTTAGTCAGGATTTCAAATTGTGTTTGACTGCAAATTGAAGTAATCCCTGCTAAATGACAGAGTCAAGTTTCAAATAAAGATCAAGCTTAGCAAGATTTTATTACTGTTTTTTTTCTTTTCTCTGAAAGGGTTTTTCAGTTAAAACAAGTGGGTTCCATTTGAAGAACACCCAAATGAAGTGAGCATCACCTCACCGGCATTAAGAGACTCAGCTCCCCAAATCACTCAGCCCTGTGCTGTTCTAACAGTTGGATTTTGGAGCTGTTTTCCAGCCTCAGTGATCCTGTGATTTTGTTGTTGGAAACTCTTTTGTGCAGCAGTGTCACCTGCAGGTACAGGTGAGTGACAAACTGGGGTCCTCATCCACGTGGATCCTCCCAGCCCAACATTCTCTGACAAAAATTCTCCTCCCTAAAACACATCCCCAGTGCCACCGAGCTGCCCAGAGCTCTTCCTCCCTGCCCAGGCCTCCTAAAAGGGTTTTTAGTGCAAATAAAAACCTCCCGTGGGTATTCTCTTTTTTACCAAACCCTCTCAAAGATCTAACAGAGTTTTCTTTTCCACTCATGTGAAAGGCCTTGTTTACTTTTTAAAAGATGAGTACAAACACATTGCTGCTTTGTTATATCATTTTCTTGCCAAAACACTGGCTCCAAAATTAACGAACCAGCTTTTAAATTCAAAGCCGATTTTTAAAATTTTTTTTTTATTATTTTTTAAAAGAACCAAGCTCCTGCCTAGCAAGCAATGTCAAATTTGGGTGGGGCTACAGAAGTTGCAGTTGTAATGATAATCCAAGCCAACACACCCAGATGAACAATGTCTCCCTCACCTTCCAAGCTGTATTTACCATGAAGTTTGCATGGCACACAAAGCTCCCTGAGGAAACAAGGGGTTAAAAAAGCCTGCACTTGGAGAAGGGCTCTCCAATGAGGACAGGCATTCCATGTGAGGAGGAGAAGCAGGAATAGGAGCAGGCATGCTGCAGAACTGGAATGGAACAGCCACGGCTTTTGAATTTCGAGTTCAACGCCCTGCACTCAGAAAAACCCGGTTCCTGCTCAAGCCTAACCCAAAATACGAGTTATTTCTCAGCATCGCCAAGCTTTGAACTGCTAATTCAGCAGGCAAATCACTTGCAGCCTTATGGAGTAGTAGAATAGCTTAAAATACATTCACACAGGAAACAAACGCTGGCATGGAGCACCTTTATGATGCCAGAACTGCAAAAGCAGCCACGCACAAAAATAGACATTTTCAAACTAGAAACTGACTTTGTTTACAACGCTGCTACAGCAGCAGCCCCGACTTTCTCCGTTTCACTACCATAACAAACCACGAAAATACCAAATTTTTCACACTGCTCTTGAATGCAAGATGTGAAAATCGGAAGGTGAAGAGAGGCTGCCAGCCCTGCCCAAACGCCTCGCGCGGTGCCAAAGACACTTCCACGTCCCAGGTGAATCCCGTGGGGACAGCACCGGAATCCTGCACCTCACTAAGGCTTCCAGAGGACACTGGTTTAGCGAATTGGGACTCTGGAGAAATCAATGCATCCCTCACACAGAAAACACTCCTGAGCCTTAATGAGCAAGAGATCCACGAGTAATGAGTATTTCTAACACAGCTCCTAAATTTGTCTCGTCTGACAACATTTATAACACCCACTTCCCAAAACAAATAATATATTAAAATTATTTCTTTTAATAGCATAAAACAGCGGAGAATCAGAACCACTTTGCATTAAGATGCTCTCACGTAGCAGCGCGCTCCGCGAAAAGCTTAATGAAATTACAATTAACCTTTTATTGCCTTGCTCCCACCACACTCGGATGCTTTTGAAGGATTCCTCCGAAGCCGAGTCGGGACCCACCTGCCGAGCGCTGGAGTTTGGGCGCGGTGGAGCTGCGAGCCCGGGACGCCATGTGCCCACATCCCTCCCTATCCATGCGGGCCCTCCTCGTTCCCAAAGCATATTCTTCAATCTGTTCATACTTTCGTTTCTTTTCCCCAAGATTTTTTTTCACGTAGGATGTCTTAGAAATTTACAGAAACTAAGGATTCATGCAAGTTATTATTTAGATGGATATGAAAAGAAAAAGATTGCTATCGACGCTGTTCCCCTAGAAAATGACCCAAAAAAAAGATTTCGGAAAGCTCAGGAACTTCCAGATATCCTGTCAAATCCATCGGAACACCTGAAACACGAGTCAAGTTCAGGATACAAGGTTGGACAGGGCTTGGAGAAACGTGGTCTAGTGGAAGGTGTCCCTGCCCATGGCAGAGGGTGAACCATTCCAGGATCCCATGTGCTGGTTTAGATGGAATATTAGGAAAAAATTGTTCCCCGTGAGGGTGGGGAGGCCCTGGCAGAGGGTGCCCAGAGAAGCTGTGGCTGCCCCTGGATCCCTGGAAGTGCCCAAGGCCAGGGCAGCGTGGGACAGTAGAAGGTGCCCCATGGCAGGGGACAGAACGGGATAACCTTAGAGATCCCTTCCAACACGAGCCACTCCACGATTCCCTTCATGGCTGGGGTTTCCCATTTCGAGCCTACCCCTCTCTCACCGAGGCCCGCACGCCCGACTCCATTTTGCGCGGGCCGAGCCGCGGAACACGTGGGGCCGGGCGAGCCCGGAGCCGCCGCCGCCACCACCGGCCCCGCGGGCGCCCCGGGCGGGCTCCCCGGGCGAGCTCCGCCATGAGCGGCCCCACGTGCGGCTCGGCCCTGCCCGGGGCCCCCCCTCTTTGTGCGAATCCTCCCCGCCGAACCCGCCGGGCCTGCTCACCCTCCTTCCGCAGCGGAGCTCCGGGCTGGCCCCCGCCATCCTCCCGGCGGTCTCCGCCGGCGAAGGGCGGCAGCGGGTTCTTGCGCTCCTTCTGCGACTCCCTGCGCAGCTGCTTGGCCGCGCTGCCCGCGCCGCCGCCCGCTTGGCCTGCTCCGCCGGCTCCGCCCGAGGAGCCGCTCTGGGCGCCCGCCGGGCCTCGGGCTCCGCCGCCCGCTTGGCTCCCGCCGCCGCCGCCGCCGCTCTCCTTCCTCCGGCTCTCCGCCGCGCGCAACACCTCGAAGGGGTCGGACTCGTCATCGAAGAGCTGATCGAAGCGGTTGGTGACGACGCACCCGAAGCCCTCCTGCAGGTGTCCGGGCATGATGGGCCCCCGTCGGCGGGATCCTGCGCGGATGCTACCGGGCCCCCCGCGCCCTGCTCTCTGCCGCACAAGATGGCGGGCCCTAAGGAGACGCGCTTCTCTTCCGGCGCGGCCACATCCGGGCACCTCCGCGGGGAGGGCGGGCGGAGGCTACAGCGCCACCCGCGGCCGCGCCGCGAACTGCACGCGCATTGTGTGAGGCGGGCGCGGGGTTTCCCGCCGTGGACTCTACCATCGGCGAGAGAAGGGTGGG